CACTCGTCAGAATTAGGGTTTAGGGTTTAGGGTTTAGTGTTAAGTAGCAGCTGCTGCAGGGCTCCAGGTCTTGGCGCTCCGGGCTTCACGGTTTAGGGCTTGGGGGTTACATAGGCTGTAGGGGTTAAGGGTTTAGGGCTTAGGGTTTAGGCGTTACATAGAGTTTAGGGGTTTGGGGTTTAAGGGTTTAGGGTTTAGGGGTTACATAAGGTTTTCATGATTTGAGGAGTAAGTACGCCAAGCCTAAACCTCAAACTTACCTACCCCTAATCCTAAGCCCTAAACCCTTAAGACCCTAAACTCCAAACAAACCCGTAAACCCCAAAACCCCTAAACCCTGAACTCTGAGATCCCAGCAAATACGAGTCCTTGCCCGGTTCCTTGTTCTTGAAGGCATGAGGTTCATCAGCCGCTCCATGTTTTCCCAATTTGCTTCGCACTTGGTGAGCCGTGTGTCGTGGATTTCATCGCAAGAGGAACGGACAAGATCTTGGGCCCCCGGAAAACAAGATGGAAGATAAATGCACTGCTACCGCGGCTTCTACTTAAGCATTACACTGCTTCTGTGCCGACCACCACTACCACTACCACAGCTACCACGACCCACCACAGCTTGCGCTGCTACTGCTGCTACAACAGCAACAAGAACACCTGCAGCTACTGCTAGTATAGCCACCACCACCGCCGCCACCACCACCACCACCGCCACCGCCACCACCACCGCTTTTATCACTTCGTTTCCGGCTTGATGTTATGGGCAACTATGGCCCCTAAAGCCCTGGGTGCCTGCACGATACGTCCTACGGGTTCAGCGAAACTTCTTCCCGGGATCCCGCGATCTTAACCTGCACCAAATGCTCTGTAGAGGTTACTAAGGTTACTTGGGCAGACAGACTCTTGAGCTGCTCGAGCTGATAAGAAGAAGAAGGCGATTTTTGCTAGTAGTTTACGAAGGCCTCCGTGACTGGAGATTCCATATTTTCGTAGCTTCCAAGTCAGAAAGCAACAGCGGATTAACACCGACTTGCGCCGAGCTTTCTTGCCCGCTGGTGCCGTTATAAATTCATAATGTTGTGTTATATTATAAGATACTGTCATGACAGATTCTCATATGTTAAAGTCAATTACAGTATAATGCGGTGTTTCCCCAAGATGTTCCGTGCTGTCAGTTCTCAAGAGTGCTGCAGAGACGGCCAAGCACACGGCCATTTCAGAAAGACTTCCGCCGCTTTCCAACCACAACCGAGTCTTAGGGACTGAGTACCCTAGCCCAAAAAAGGTTAACCTTTAAAATTATGGTAGGGTTATATGAGCCCGAAAAGGTTAAAGGCTACCTACTGGGCTACTAAGTAGTCTGCCTAATACGAGCAAGTGCCGAAGCCCAAATGTGACAGCAAAATTGGGGCAGACGGCTATCACCTGCCTTCGTCCTGGGCCAAGGCCTGGAACTCCGTCAAAAGAAATCCAAACGCTCTGAAACTTACGCCCCCTGCGACCCAAAATTCTAAATCCCCAACCTTAAACCCTAAACCCCAAATCCTGCACCCTAAACCCTTAAACCCTAAACCCTTAAACCCTAAACCCTAAGCCTCCCATCGCAAACCCTGACCAACCTTAAACTCCCAAGTCGCAGTTCTTGAGGGGCGAATGCAATTCCCCAAAAACTGCTTAAGCTAGGGGTTTAGGGTTCAGGTCTTAAGGTTTAGGGTTAAGGGGTTTTGGTTTAGGGGTTGTGGGGTTGAGGGGTTTAGGTGTTGTAGGGTTTAGGGGTTACGGTTTCCTGTCGATGAAAATCCTACATAAAGCGAGGGCCTTAGCGGTGTATATCATAGTGTGACGATAATACGGACGATATTGAGAGATTGCTTCTAAATCTTTCGAACTCATGGTTAGCACGATCATACGATAAAGGATTTTTTATAACATTCTTCCGATCCCGACAGTCTACAAAGGTTACTGCAAGGGTTACTATAAGGGATACTATAAGGGGGTACCACAAGGCTTACTATCAGGGTTACTTTTTTCATATCCTCCTTAGTCTTCTCCTCGGTTCTGGCCCTTGGACGAAGAGGCGCCCCGACGCCTTCGAAGCTGTTCTCCGAAGAGCTGCTCTTCTTCTTGTGCAGATGACATTGGATCCGGCTCTTTAGTGATGTTTTTGATGGTATAAATCCTGCACTACGTTAAGGACCCTAAACTATGGGAATTATGGTACATTCCTTGTTATGGGTAATGCAGGATTTAATAGGGTTTAAGCATCCAGATGGGTTCATTATAAGGGTTCTATACGGGTTAGTTTACGGGTTTAGTCCTGAATCCTAACCCAGTGGACACGATCTTCTTCTGTCTGGCAAGCGGCTCTGGCAACTTTGCTGCGACGAGTTGCAGGATCTGCGGGTACGTAGTTTCTAAATACCCATAGGCTCCTTAGTGGTTCCTTGTTGGGATTACCTTACAGGATTCTAAGTATAAACCACGAAAAGTAAGTGCACCACCTTTCCCTCCTAGTCGAGTCTAACCTAGAAAACCCTAAACATGAAAGGGTATGAGTCCCTAAACCCTAAACCCTAAACCGTTACGGTATGGGGGGTATAGCTTTGAGCTCTTGGTTCTTCGGCTGAAGAGCTGGACAGACCGGGACCCAAGAAACATTCATCTATCTGTACTCAGCACACCTAAGATGGCCTCAAAGAGACACAACATAGCGGCCTTAATTATTAGACTAGGGCTTTGGGGTACTAACTATAATGCGGAACCCGAGAGAATAAGCTTGGAAATTATTCAGGCTTCCATATTATATGAAAGTCGTGGCACGTCCCGCATGTGCAGCCTATGGCTGTTCCATGTCAGACCACAGCCAAAACCCTAAACCCTAAGCCCCTAAACCCTAAACCTTAAACCCCTAAACCCCTAAGCCTTAAACCCTAACCCCCTAAACCCTAAACCCCGAAACCCCTAAACCCTAAAACCCTGAATCCGAAACGTTAACAGCGCCAGAACACCCCGAAGTTAAAAAATACCGAAACAGGTGCCTACTCAGTTAGGGTTTAAGGTTCAGGCGCTGCGGCATAGAATGGTCTTAGACATAGGTTTTGGTTAAGGGGGTTTGATCCAAACCCGGCTGCGACGAAATGTCACAGGTTCAATAATACCTTGAAGAAGAGCAGCAGACAAAAGAAAAACTGGTGCAAGATCAGTACACGGAGTGCCCAATGCTTCGTCGCGTGGGCTGTCGATGACTGAACTTGCTGGACTCCAGAAGAGACTCTGCTATTTAGGGTTTAGTGTTTAGGGGTCCGCTGGAGCACAGTTTTGCTCATCAGCCGTGGCCCAATACCCCGACACTGCCGTAATTAAGCTCGACCTGGGTTCAACCATAGTGCTAGATGTCTGCATTCAACCCTAAACCCTAAACCCCTAAACCCTAAACCCACTTGATTGCAATCGTCTTTGCTGCGACTACGACACGTTGGGAGTGACACACAGGCCCGAAGCAGCTCTGGCTTCCCCTAAACCCCAAAAGCAAGCTCTAAACCCTCAACAAAACCCCTAAACCCTGGGGTATAGCGTCTAGGGTTGAGTCGGGTTTAGGGCTAACTTCTGTGGGATCCATGTGGATCTCTTCACGACTCTTTTTTGAAGCGAATGAAGGGCTCGCGGGGAGAACGGGCAAAAGAACCACGAGTGAGGAGAAAGCTGGGGAAGACCTTCAGGTTTGAACGCTTGAGGTCTACCTGTAGTCTCCATTGTAGTTCCCTTTTTTGGTTTAACCAATTTTATGTTAAGGATCCTAAAAGGTACCCCCAAAAAGGAACTACAATGGAGACTACATGTGGGATTTAGAATTCTGGTTCCTTGTTGGGGCCATGTTTGAAAATGAGCAATGTTAATTCGCGTTAGGGTTTTATTAAAACAAAAATGTAGAATTGTATCCAACAGGACCCAGATTTGGAACTCAGGATTCAAGTTACCAGGTAACTGCAGTCAGTCCAAAACAAGTTCCCGTACCAAGGATAGCCTCACGCGTTTCTCTTGGCTGATGGCAACGAATCTTGCAAAGATGCGGTGCTGTCTCGACCTGCTGCGCAAATCCTGATTCTTCGCAAGGTTCGCGATGTTCCTGGTGTCGCTGCTCGGGTTCATGTAAAACATTTACATGTCGCAGGCAACGAGCACCACGGGTAGTTCTCTCAATTAGGGACCCTAGTGGGTCCCCCGAGTCGCCTAAACCCGAACTACTAAGCCCGAAAAGTCTTTACCCCTACACCCTTACAATATACCCATAGGCCCCTTAGTAGTTCCTGTTTATGGTTTATTTTAGAATGCCATAAGGTAATCCCAAAAAGGAACTACTTAGGGGCCTATGGGTACGGAGCCCGAAACGGGACCCTAAACCCTAAACCCTAAACCGGGATCCTAATTTCGAGAACCTCCCGCACGCAGAAGCTCGGTGCAGGCCTTTTCCGGCCCCGGAACTTCCCGGGCCGGGAGGGACAAAGCACTCATGGAATCTTTTCACGTGTAATCCCATAGGCTCCTTAGTAGTTCCTTTTTGGGGTTACCTCATAGGATTCTAAATATAAACCACAAAAAGGAACTACTTAGGAGCCCATGGGTAATTGGAGCAAAATCAACATCTTCTTGAAGGTTTTGTGCTTTTGAACTCGTTGTGCCTGTGAGCTTCAAGAATTGCTCCCCAGATTCCCATGAACCATACAATCTATCCGGAATCCAGTAGCCTCCCAAGTAAGCCCGGGCGTAAGATGATGCGTCTTCCAGCAGTCAGCCTACCGCCCGACTAACCCTGGGCAGACTAACTGTGCGCAGGAAATGGGGCATGCTCACAGCGAGACTTTGCAGTTAAGTACGCCCAACTCATCCTGCAAGAAGGCGGATGGTCAGCCCTTTGGACAGAGTCGGAAAGAGATTGCTATGTTGATAGCAAAAACTGCTGAGTCGGAGTATCGGCCAGTAGTTGGCTCCTCCATGGACCGATTGACTCATCGGTTGTGCCCACGGAAGTAGAAGTCTGCCCGATCCGCGTGCGTTGGCATCGGCCCCCGCGCAGCCCATGCGCGGTCCCCCTGCATGGACACTTCCTGGCCAAGGCTTTGCAACTTCTACAGTGGAGGGGCCTTGGCTGTTTTTGTTGGGGATGGGGGTGTGGGGTATATTATAGTACAAGACCAGTGGGGGACTCTAAGGGGATCTAATACTCATTTATCCGATCCATCTATCATGTCAACGCCTGGCTCTTCTGCCCACACCAGTGGGAGAATATGGAGGTTGGGCAACCCAGCTACTGGCCTGTGGGGTCTCAAGAGGGATTGGAAAGCCTACTGCAGGGGTCGGAATTACTCTGCTACTGCTCCTTTGGGTTCCTCTGAAACTATACTATACTATCTCTCTAAGGGTCCATGTACCCAAAAAGTATATACTTTGGCCTTAAAACAGTCCCTTTTTAAGTAAGCACTTTGGGGCCAAAGTATATACTGTTTGAGTACATCGACCCTTAGGTTATAGTAGTGTGTGTCGACCAGATTGCGCTGGATCTCGACTCATTGACTTGTGTAATCAATGAAGGATCCACCCCTCCCCGATACGGGTGCTGCTGTTCTGGGCCGGCGGCCACGCATCTCCAAAGTGACTACTACAGTCAGAATCATGATCAGAACAACAACAGTAATAGTTGTGGAAATGGCAATAATCGCCATAATTGAATGCGAATAATAGCAATAGTCAAAGCAAAAAATCAATAGCAACAACAAACAAAACAAAACGACGCTAGCATTACTAAGCAATGCCATGCCAATCATACTCGCAAGAATATAACAATACGAATAATGGGAATGATAATGCCGAAAACAACGGCTGACAATGACCACACCAACAATAATCCCAAGAAGCATACGAGCATGGGTAATCGTACATATAGGCCAACCACCAGATTGTTCATTCATATTGTATATACATATATGTATAATTATATATGCTGATATCTCTATATATCTCTATATTTGTATATATATATATACACACACGTACATACATACAAAACAGTCATCATCGAAACAGTGGTGATAGAAGCTGCAACGCCATACTCCGGGACCTGCGCCCTGCAAAAGCGGCAGTGCGGACCGTGGCAGTAGCGGCAGTTTCGACGATTGCCTTCCGATGTTCACAGATCTGACTTAGTTAAAAGCTTTCTACAAGGCTTCTGTAAGGTATATAGACCTTCTTTAAGGCTCCTATAACGGTAACTACCCACCTGAAAATGTCTTAAGATTAGACTTAGGGCTTTAACCGCTACACTACACCTTAAACCCTACTTGTCCAGTATCATGGGGAACTGAGGGTTAGCTTTCGGGATTATGCAGAGATTGTAGTACCCCCAATAAGGAAATAAAAGGTATCCTACTCTACTACTAAGATCCCCTCAAAACGGAACCCTAAACCCCTAAACCCTAACTGTACCCTTGTAGAGCCCGCCCTTTAAAGGAACCCCCTAAGAAACCCTTAAAAAGAACCTTAAATCCCTAAACTCCTATACCCTTTAGAGGCTACCTACGTACTCTACTACTAAGAAACCCTACTAAGAACCCCCTAAACCCTTTAAAGGAACCCGCAAAAAAAAACCCTCTAGGTTTCACTGCGCCGTCAGGATTGGATGCAACCACGCCGCACTCGTTGCGGATGTAGTGCCTCGCTCGAGGTTGAAGAAAAAGAACGATTAAGTTTAGGGCTTATAGGGTTTGGCGCGTATTAATTTGAGGTGCGGGGTTTAGACATCTGTTCTCTCAGACGGCCTCGACGTAGCGGCGTCGAAACTGGACTTCTGTCTTCTTACGAGTTTTCTCAGGGCGAGCCGTGAACCCAAAAGCCGTGAACCCCGAGCACTGCACAAAATGAAGATTCCCTGAAATGCCTGCGACGGCACAGAGCTGTTTCAAGTTCGAGTGACGGCTTTGGGTTTGGGGGTAGGTTTAGGGGTCAGGAGGTCTGGGTTCATGGAATAGGTTCATGACCCCGTAGTATCGGAACACTGATTTAGGACATGGGGTTAAAGGTTTTAAGGCCTCAGTGTGTTTTCCATAGCTTACCGGGCCTAGGGGTCGTGAGTTTGAGCTCATGACCTGGATGCTGCCGGCCTACCTACAGATCGGACGTCCGCAGCCAGCGGTGTTGTCATCCTGAAAGGAAGCTTGCTTTCTCGAAGGTTTAGTACTACCAAATGTACGGGGTAAAGTGGGGGCTTCGAAAACTCACGTGCCGCTGACGTGGAATATGCCACGAGACTCCAGTACGCACCCTTATCTAAGAGATGCCCATAGGCTCCTATGTAGTTCCTTTAATTTTGGGATTACCTTATAGGATTCTAAATAAACCACAAAAGGAACTACTTAGGAGCCTATGTGTAGTATCAGAAGGTTGGAGCGCCAGCTCCAGTCATCCAAACCTATGCCCTTGATGAACCCTCTCTGCACAACGTAGCTGCGAGACCAACCGTATGCCATGATCTGTTCAACGCTACGCAAAATCCCGAACACACGAACACCAAACAAACACTGCACAACCACAACAAATGCATGGATTTCAGAGCCCTGAACTCCTAAACCCACGACCCTCTCAAGCCCTGAACCCGCTTAAACCCCTGAACTCAAAACCCCGAAGCCCCCCTAACAAACCCTCAGCCAAAGGCTTAGGGTTTGCGGCTCTTTTGAAGGTTCGACTATGGGGTTCCTTTAGAGGTTCGGGTTTAAGTCTCTCTCTCTCTCTCTCTCTATATATATATATATACATATATATATATAGATGTTACCCTGTACATTCAGGGCTATGCTAGGCTTAGATCAGGGGTTTGGGGCTCCTGTAAGGTCGGAGCCCTTGAGCTCCGTTTATATTTTAAGGTTGAGGTTTTAAGGCTTAGAGGGCTTTGGCTTTTAGGGCTTTAAGGGTTTCGGGTTTTAAGGGTTTCTTTAGGGCTTATAGTGGTTTAGGGTTTACAGTTATACCTATAGTCTCCAGTGTAGTTCCTTTTTGGGGTTACCTTGTTGGATCCTTAATATAAACCTGGTCAACACCAAAGAAGGGAACTACAATGGAGGCTAGAGGTAGCCCTAAACCCTAAACGCAAAACCCTTAAACCCTAAACCCCTGAACTTATAGGGTTTATAGGGGCCATTCTAAGTGAGAAGGGGTCCTCGGCCGGGGCCAGCTCCTCTACCCCGGCGCGGGTGTCCAGTCCTCCCCCAAAAGAGAGCCAAGAGAGAAGAAACACATATCGAGATGTGGATTCAGCTTTAGCACTTAAGGTTTAGGGCTTATAGGGTTTAGGGTTTAGGTTTTAGGGTTTAGGTTTTAGGGCTTAGGGTTTAGGGTTTAGGTTTTAGGTTTAGGGCTTCGCGTTGAAACCCTAAACCCAGAACCTTTAGGGCTTTGCATGGTGTCAAGGGCAAGAATAAGGCGCTTAGAGATTGCCCCATGGGGGTTTGTACGGCTGCGTTGGGCCACTTGGGATCAGTGTAGCCCAGGACGGGTTCTGTAGGCATTTATTCAGAGGGGATTGCCAGGGCTTGACATGAGCGCTTGAGAAGTCAAAAAGGTCATCAAGGATCGCGGACTCTGCAGTAGTCCTTGTATGAAGCTATGAGTACTATTGTGCAGCGGTCTCCTGCTGATTATTTTGTTTTTTTGTGGTGCGACTTGCCAAGCCTCGTGATCAGCTAGGTATTCTATGTCTTAGTTCTGCTAGAAGCCTGGCAGCAATAGAGGATGCTCTTCATCACATCCTCACCCCCGGCTCGACAGCTGAAGCCGTCGAATCCAAAAGCCCTGCACCCCGAAACTCCGGACCAGAGAAGCCGGGGCCCCCTGAGTCGGGAATATGGGGTAGTACTCTAATTTCGGGTCCCTGTTTAGGTCCCCAATATTGTACGGCACCCATATAAAAAAGGACCCTAAATGGGATCCTATTCTCGAAAACTACCCATATGCTTTCCAGCGAATATCGCTATAAGGAGGAGCCCCGTCGGTGTCAGGGAAGGCTCCATGATGGAGGGGTATTGGACTCGGTGGGTAGGGCCGTAAACCACCCAAACAAGCCGCAGAGCATTCCCGAACCCCCCAACGCCCAACACCCCCGAAAAATACCGGTAGGAACCTTTTCGAACGCTGTATAACAACCTGCACAACCCTAAGACCCATACCCCGAACCCCTACCTAACCCAAAAGAACCTACCTTTCCAAGGATCTATACAAGGAAATCATAATAAGGAACTCTAAAAAGGTAGGTTCTTTGGGGTCCAGGTAATCCCTCAACCCCGAACCCCCGAAAGCCCCCAAAGTGTCAAGACCTTGCCTGGTGATGGAGCTCTGGGCGGTGCCGGTTCCTAGTTCATGGTTGGGAGAGTATGATTAGTATTATTATTACTATCACTACTATCACTATCACTATCACTATCACTATCACTATCACTATCACTATCACTATCACTATCACTATCACTATCACTATCACTATCACTATCACTATTACTATCACTATCACTATTACTATTACTATTACTATTACTATTATTGTTATTTGCATTATTATTGTTATTGTTATTGTTAATATGTTTCTTCTTCTTCTTCATATTTGTGGGGGGGACTTCTGTTCGTTATTGGCATTAAGCAAACAAAATGAACAAAATAACCAAACCCGACCACCCCAAAGGTATAAAAAATGTTACTCAATGATGATAAGAGTTTCAATCTCCAGGGGCTCCGATCCCTCGAGGATTCGAACCACAGCTTCGTAGCCGGCCTGGTGGTAGTAGTGGAGGTAAGGGTTCAGGGTTTAGGGTTTAGGGTTTAGGGTTCAGGGCTTAATACTGTTGACGATATAAATCCTGCATAACCTGAAGGACCCTAAACTATGGGAATTATGGGATACTCCCTATTATCGGCAATGCAGGATTTATATCATAACCGTAGTTTAGTAGTAGTCGTCGTCATCGTCGTAGTGGTAGTAAAGGCTTTCAAGGGCCATAATGCTCTGCGGGTTCTTACCTACCATTTCGGAGCTGGGGAGGCTTCAGGCGCGGGAGTTTGCGGGCTCTGTGGGCTTTGGGTTTCTGGGGCCTTGGAGGCTTAGGGTTGTTAGCCTTGGAGGCTTAGGGTTTTTTGGGGGCCTTGGAGGCTTAGGGTTCAAGTCTCTATAATGGCATCATGCACCTGCAATAGTTGCATGCCATAGACCCACGAAGCCGGGCCCAAAGAAAGCCCACAGTTCTTCAAACATCCAAACCGGAAAACCCTACAGCCCTTAACCCTGAACCATAACTTACATAGGGGCTGAGTACCCTAACCCAAAAAAGGTTAACCTTTTAACTATGGTAGGATTATATAAGTCCAAAAAAGTTAAAGGTTACCTACTCAGCTACTAAGATAAAAAAAGGCCCACATCAGAGTTTGGCAAGAGGGCTCCCTTCAAGGAACCCTATTATAGTACCCTTATCGAAGCCCTTATAGATCCCTTTAAGGGGCCCTATTATCGTACCCTTCTAGAAGAGGGCTCCCTTCCTTCTTGGCAACTTCCATGGCGGTGTCACCAGAAGGAGCCGGCGTCTCCAGATCTGCACGAGAACCTGGCGTTTGGGGATGCTGTGACCCCGGGTTACACTTTCAAAAGGGCTTCCTCGGATACTTAGGGGCTGAGTACCCTGGCCCAAAAAAGGTCAACCTTTTAATTATGGTAGGATTATATAAGCCCAAAAAGGATATAAGCCCAAAAAGGTTAACGGTTACCTACTCAGCTACTAAGGATACACTAAGGAGTTTGACAGGTTTTGAAGTTATATGCAGGTGCACATGGGTGTCGGATATGGGTTTTAGACTAGAGGTGGAGTTTCATCTGGGGGTCCCCGTGGGTCGATGCCGTGGAGCGGTAGCTTTGGCTGGGTTTAGGGTTTAGGGTTTAGGGTTTGGGGTTTAGGGTTTAGGGTTCGGGACGAAGAAACCCTGAACAAGCCCTAGAACATTCTGTGTGAAATGCCACACGACCGTATTGACGGCTACGAAGACCGGATGCACCAACATCAAACCCTGAACGCCTTACTCCCTATAACATATGATACACCCTAAACTCTAAACCCTATAAATACCCTAAACCTCCAAATCCGAAAAGCCCTAAACCCTGTAAGCCAACAGAAGGCTACGGGATGTGGACAACAGAAAGCTGCCGGAGTTCGAAGCTTTGAATTCGGCTCAGGAGCGAGCGAGCATGCGCACAACGCCCGTGTGCCCGCATGCTGCTGCGATCGCCAGCGGTGGCTTTTGCAGTCCATCCTTAGGATCCTGGTTTAGGGCCTGCAGGCTTTAGGCCTTCGGGCTATCAGGGCCTCTGGAGTCTAGGGTTTGGCTTTCGGGTTCGTAGGGCCTCACAGGGCTTTAGATTTGTTGGTTCAACTCCTCTGTGCTCTCCACCCATCCTAGGTTGGCTCAGGGTTTAAGGTTTAGGGGAGATGTGGGTGCATTCAAGCACGGAACAGAACGCAGTGCTTGAAACTGACGAGCGCGCTTTGCAGAAAAAAACACTCGACAAGGCGGAGCTGCAACAAAAAGCAACACCCCCACAACAAAACAAAAAAAAAAACGCCCATGAACTCACATGGTTGGTAGAGTATACCCCCCCAAAGCCCAGAACCCGAAAACCTCACCGAAGGCCACGGTGCCTTTACGCCAGCTCAAGAATGTCTGCTGTTATCAGCTTGGGGGGGAAGTTAGCAGCCTTAACAATCAGGCTGCGATGTGAAGGGCCAATTCCTGCATAACTAACTAAATAAATCACCAAGAGGCACTCTTAGACTCTAGGGGGGATGTTGTTACTGAGTAAATAAACCAAAACCGCATCGACGACCCCCGTGTCCTTTATGGCTTTGTTGACCTCCGTTGAGGCCTCGATCAGCATCTCCACAATCCTGGTTCTCGGGTCTTGTCGGGCTGTAAAGGTTTGCGGTCTCGGGTTCAGGGTTTAGGGTTTAGGGGTTTAGGGTTTGGGGTATAGGGGTTTGGGATTTAGGGGATTTACCGTAGCGTCTGGGGATTTAGTTAAGGTTTTTAGTCCCTCGAAACCCCGCCCATACTCGTCAATGTAGTTCGGTGTGGGGTTTGGGATGTAGGGCTATCTGGCTAGAGTCGACGGAGACAAATAGAGGTGAACGGCTAGGTCGTGTAGTCCATAGAGACTCTGGGAGCACCCCCGACAGGTATGGACCTTCGTAATTCGAACAGGGTGCAGGGGTTTTTCTAGGATAATAGCTAGAATAATGACCCATAGGGACTAATTTTTTTTGGTAATCATTCCGGCCTCCTGAGGACACACGAATAGGTGAAGCCTAAAGTCCGAGAGGCCTTGAGCTGAGTTTAGGGGGGTTTGGGAGAGTCTTCCAAGCCTGGAGCCCGGAAGATTCTGAATCTGGGTTGCGGTGTCTGGATCACCAAAAGATTGAGATTTGCATCATAAACGCATTTTCGGGACCTTAACCTTTGAAAACCGTCATCTGCAGCCCGTAAGCGCACGCCCCAAAATCTAGCACCCTGAATTCTGAATCTGCGTAGTTATCTAAAGTAGCGTCATGTTTCTTTTAATCCCCCAAAAACAGTACGGCACCTTAACCAAAAAGGACCCTAAAAGGGACCCTAATTTAGGGAACTACCCATCTGCAGCCCACGGAGCTCAGGGCGTTGATTATGCACGGCGATACACAGAGGCGTGAATCCGTTCGGCAGCGCGAGATGTATGTCGGCCCGCATGCCGAGAAGAATCTTGACTACAGTGGCCTGGAGGCAATCCATACCAATTACTTGGGGAGGAGTCGAAAGATTAAGATGGGCATCCGAATTGTTTCAACAAGGTCTTCCGGCGGTATAGATATGATCAGGGAACTTAAGAAATGGCATTGGTACTTATTGGCACCCTGCTGACGCGAAACATTCCTTGCTTTGGGTGGACTTTGAAGTAACCCAGGGAGAAACACGTACATTCTTTTGTTTCAGAATGGTTCCTTTAAGGAACACCCTAAGCTCTAAACCCTAAAACCCCTAAACCCTAAACCCTTAAACCCTAAACCCTAAGCCCCTAAACCCTATAAATATAGTACTGCAGAAGCCAGTTTGTGAGGTTGAGGGAGGCTGCGGTTTCACGGAGGCCACATCTGGTCCAAAGAGACAAGAATTAGGGTTTAGGGTTTTTGAAGTGTGGTGGCTTAGCGGTTCAAGGTTGAGGGTTTTAGAAGTTTGGGGGGCTTGGCGGTTTACGGTTTAAGGTTTATTGGGGTTTTAAATCGAATAACCGAGGGCTAAGAACACACAACAGACTACGAACAACAAACAACACACAAGAGGCAGCAACGGCAATACGTACTACTCGTACCAGTACAACAGCTTTTTTTTTCTGCTCGCACTGCTAATCATTCTAATGCGAATTATGCAGACTGCAAACGATGCTATGGAATTTTGTCGTCAATGTGTAACAAGGACGACACCCCGCAGGCATAATAGTAATGTCTGAGTCCATCACCACGAAAATTCATCTTCTGTGCATAGCATGAATTTCCATGATCTCAGGTAGAGGAACTAGTCATGGTGAACATAGAGGACAAGCACAAAGACACATACAGTAAACTTCGTCGAGCAGCAGTAGTACAAGTCGTCGTCGTCGTGGTGGTAGTGGTAGTAAGACTACTACGTTGAAACTAGTCGTGCGCTCATAAGTTTAGTCGCAACACCTGTAATTTACACGGAAACTAGCAGCATTAACATAACGGTTAGCTCAAACAAAGATCAACAAACGACACCCTCAACCTAACGCCCTAAATCTAGCCGTACACCCTACATAAACTCCTGATGCGGCGCAGTCCTGGCCCTCCTGCACGGCGATGTGTAGCGGCGTCGCCCCATCTTCAGTTGTATGGTTCACTTCTGCTCGATGATGTACCTGGGCTGTGAAGGGCTGTGGGGGCCTGTTATACACTACCCTGAAACCCGGCAGATTCAGGGATGTCGGGTTTGGAGTTTTGCCCCTATAAACCCAAAACCCAAAACGCCAGACCGTCGGGTTTACGACATACACGCTGCTGGGTTCCTTTGCTCAATACAGCATCGGCATTCCGCAAGATCCAAACCCAAACCCTAAAGCATGAACAGCCTAGCCCAACATGGGTGTGTGATAAAGACTTTGATTTCAGTTATCACAACGCAGAACGCTTACTATACATTTTATTTCCGCCTTTGTTTGGCAGCTTAGGCGATTGTTTCAAAAGAAACCTCAGAAGCCGATGCACACGCCTCATCAAACCTGTGAAGCCCTTTCTGACCATACCCAAACCCCCCAGGTACCTAATATATAGGGTACTAGAGCCCCTAGGGCCCTATATAGTAGGTACCTGGGGGGTTAGGGATACCCAAACCCCTACGGCCATAAACTGTAAACCTAAACGCCTAAACCCTCTAAACTCGGCCGCTGGCTCACCACAAAGCCCTACCAAGCACTATCCAGAACCCTCAGAATCACCAAAGGCTTTAAAAACCCCAAACCCTAAACCCCAACCCCTATAACCCCCTAAACCCCAACCCCCTAAACCCTAAACCCTAAACCCCCCAAACCCCAACCCTCAAAATAACCTAAAACTCGCTTCCGGATCACCAGAAAGCGGACAACATCCTCGTGTCCAAACTGACTTGCGACGTAGAGCGGGGACACCTGACACCTGAGCTCGGAACACGGTGGTTAAGCATTTTCGGGTGTAGGGGTTTGGGGTTTAGGGCTTGGGGTGTCGGGCGTAATTAGGGTTTATTGAATAAAGAGTGCTGCAGGGTGTTTTTGTGTTGGTGAGAAGGTGGCATAAAGGGTCTTTGCGGGCTTTTGTTACAAAGGGCTTTCAACTGTGAAACGCCCCGAGAGCAGCATACCGTTTCGGCATATATGTTCTTGTAGGATCCGATTTCAGGTCGTTTGGGGTTCTTGGGTAAGCCTACTTTTGACACAGTTTGTTGGGGCTTCGTGGCTGACGGATTCTACGATTCATGGCACGCCGTAAGCCTCTTCGGTCCAGATTCAAACTCCCCGAATACGGGTTTAGGGTTTAGGGGTTTAGGGGTTTAGGGGTTTAGGGTTTAGGGGTTTAGGGACCCTACACAGTTACTAGGGAGCATGGTTTAGAGTTTCCGAGCGAACGAGAACTACGGAATCCTTTACTATAGGGCTCTATACTAAACAGTATAATAAAGGAACACAAAGTCATCCCAAATCGATACCTACTTTAATTAGATTCGGCTCTGCTGTGAACGCAAGGCAGGAACTGCGCTCAAGCCGGCTTTGCAACGCCTTAACCCTAAACCCCTAAACCCTAAACCCTAAACCCCTAAACCTAAACCCTAAACCCTGAACTCTAAACGCCAAGAGTCCACGTGTTCGGGGAAGCCTTCGGCTCAACTTACCAGTTCAGGGCTACAGTACGGGTTTAGAATTTGGGACGTGAGGTTTAGGATGTTCGAACATCAAACTTACACCTCTTAAAACTCCTCTGGAACCCCTTCTAAGACCCTCGCAGCTGCATTTGTCCCATAAAGCAACCCCTCAAAACCAAAGCCCAACCCAGCTTATTCCTTACGTTAAAGCTGAAATTTGGATCTCTTGGTCCTTATGAAACCCTTGAGCTCCTAAACTCTCAACTTGAAAATGAGGGCCTTCAGAAGACTAAGTTTCTTGCGAGTTTTTATGCCGTCTTTTGAAACGTCGTAAACAATAGAATGGGGCTTGGGTGAGCGACCGCGCCAGTATTATGTAGGCACTGTGTGGGAATTTCAGATCTCTGGCTAAGCCTCCTAGTGTGCCCAGTTGCGTGTCCGTCTGGGCGAGATTGGCCCGCTTCTCACACAGGAACTGCACCTCAAAGCAGGGCTGACTAGGCTATATAGGGTTGATAAATAGTCAATGGGTAATGTGGAAAAACTACCACGTGAGGCCATGAATGGTTCCGCAAGGATGCAAGTAGCAACTATATCTATTGTTGCCGAAAGCAGCCTCCATGTCCTTAACTATTAAGTACATGTAGGTACTAATCCGGATTCCTCGACGCATCCAAGATCAAACTACAGCACGAAGCCCCACCAAACTTTCGCATCCATGATTGTTCTGTTCTCCTTCTGGAGACCCAGAAGCCACCAAACACTGCTTAAGGTTTAAGGTCTGACTTCAATCGCACAGCTTAACATAGGGGCATAATAAATTGAATGAGGTTTGGGGCAATTTTGAAATACCATTACGTGTACTCAGGAGCCCGAAGGGACAACATTCTTCGATATTTAGATTGTTGCTGTCTTGCGACGAAGCCTGGAAGTCCAAAACTTGCGGGTGTTGAGCCCGAAACCCTAAACCCTAAACCCTAAACCCCTCCCCAAAGACCGCAGGGGCCAAGAGATGGAATGCCCCGGGTTCAGGAGCTCGGAGGGTTAAGTAAGGTTTCCCTAACCCCCCAGGTACCTACGAAAAAAAGGCTACTAGAGCCCCTAGGGCCCTATATAGTAGGTACCTGGGGGGTTAGGGTTTTTTTAATCTTGCAGCTCAAGGGTTGAGGGTTAAGGTTGCGTGGGTAAGGGTTTAGAGGCTTAGGGCTTAGGCTAATGGCCCAGCGACAACCTGGTTGTGGCCCTGTTGGGCGGCGACTTGGAGAGCAGTTGTCCCTGTTCGATCCTCAGCGTTCTGCAAGCCGCCGTGGCTAGCACGCGTACTTAAGTGAATCCGAAATCTGACAGAACCAATACCTAGATACTTGGTTAGCACTTGTAGGTTAGTAATGCAGGAGCCTGGGTCATTAGAATGGGTTTTAGGCTCAATTGTAATTATACTAAAAACCCTTCAGGAACTGTCCGAATGTGGATAGGGCGCAGCCTGGCCTGCTCAAGCCTCATGGATCGAGAGCAAGATATGGCACCCTGAATGGGTTTTGGGTTTAGGATTTAGGGTTTAGGATTTAGGGTTTAGGATTTAGGGTGTAGGGCACCCTCAATCCAACAACTTGAGAAACACAAAACCATCTCCGGACAACTGAGAAGCTCCATGTCGCCAACATGATGCAATTAGTTCCACCCCGAAACCAAACCCTGCTATATATATATATCTATCTATCTATCTATCTATCTATCTCTATATATATATATTATATATATAAGCAGTTTTCTACGCTGGGCATCTTTAAACCCTGAACCACAACAGTATGGCAAGACCTGTAGATCCAAACTCTAGCTGTTGCCCGAAAGCTTAAACTCATAGGCTACATCTTCCACCGAACACAGAATCCCAAGACCCCATCAAGCACACAAAAAGGTCCATAAATCCTACGATACCCTGCAAAAACCATGTCGCACGTTTAACACCCACCACACGGAAACGTTGAGTCATGTTGCGGTTTGGCGCAGATCTGCTCTTCCTCGCCTCGGTGGAATCGCATAAGGACTTGCTTCCACGTCAATCTTGCATGTAATGCAACCTAAGGGCCTTACTAATAAAACAAGACTTTGCAGGTATGTTATGTTACCCTAACCCCCCAGGTACCTACTATATAGGGTACTAGAGCTTCTAGGGCCCTATATAGTAGGTACCTGGGGGGTTAGGGTTATATTGACTGTATATTGCTGAGTCCTGCGGGATGGTCATAATCTCTGTGCCCGCCTCTATATGAGGGCCACTAGAAATGAAACCATGAATTCCGCACGGTGGTCTCAGCTTCGTGATAATAACACCGCCAAAGCTG